ATGTTTGGACAGGATAGTCTAGACTCTATAGAGATTTCTGGTTTTGGAGTGACATTTGGGGACAGGAATATAAATCTCTTTATGAAATAGAAACAAAATTTGTGGAATGCTTACATTAAAAAAAAAGGTGCAGGTTTAAAAATGTTTGAAAGGAGATCCTGTAACAATTTGTTCACCATGTCAGTTATTTTGAGTCTCCAAGAAGCATCAATACTTATCCACCAGTACCTAAGGAACTACCAATCCCAGAGTCTTCCTTTCCTTACTCCAGCTTCCAAGGAATATGTTTGACTCAGAAACATTCAGAGTGATACTCCATTTGTTTAGTAAGAGTATCTCTTGTTTAGTTTTGATCCTATTTCACCCATTTTCCTCAAGATCAGGCAAGAGAGGAAAAAACTTCAGAGAAATCCAAGACACTGCCAGAACTGTTATGAGGCAGCAGCAAATCCATGCATGAAGAAGAATGTGTGTTCTCAGGGCTTATGTCACATGAAGTGTGACTTCATAGCCATTTAAGAATTATCCTCCCAACTCTAACATAATCTGTTTATGCAAGACTCTAAATTCAAGTCTAATAATAGCCCTGACATACAGCCCGCTAATATTACAGGTGGAAAACAACTGAGGCTACTTTGGATTTCCAGTAAAACTTCCACATCTGGAACAGTTCTTGGACTGCCAACATTTGTTTCTCCCCTTTGATTCATTCGCCTTTACCCAACAAGTCTTGGTTCAGCTTCAATGGCTTGACTTCAGGGCATCCTTCATTTTCAAGTTGTGAAACGAATTGGCGTCATGGTGTTCCTCTATTTCTGCATGCACTTCCTAGGGAATTTTTTTTTTGGTCTGTGTCTAGCCAGGTTTATAAATCAGCATCATCATCTTAGCTGAAGACCTAGAAGATGGCAAGTTTCAATTCTAGAGTTTGTTACAAGGTTGGAACCTTTACCAGCTTGGTCAGGACACTAACATATTCTAATCACTCCTCCTTGCAGTGCTCCAACTTGTTTTTGTTCATTAAACTCCTGCATTTTTCTGGTTTTCAATTTTTCATTTTAAAATTGTGCTATAGCTTTTGCTTCTTGGTCAGGCGGGATTTAGCCGGGTCAAGTTTGGATCTTTAGCATGGTGTTTGCGTCATTTTGTTTTAAAATCATTATATGCCCAGATGATATTAAACAGACTTACATTGTCCTCTTGCAAAGCGATCAGCTGCACATTGAAACTGAGGGTCCACTGCTTTGCTTACTGCTGTGATGACTATCTTAAACCTTCTACCTTTTCCCTCCAACATAGCGCGGTCTTAGGTTTGAACATAAGATTCCCATAAAGGTCGTATTTTTCTCATTGTTTACTAGGGGGTAGCCAATTCTGTAACTTTCATCCATGCCCCAAAAACTACATCTCCCAGCTCCACATTGTGCCATTCTTCAGTTTGATGCCTGGGGTCACCACACAAGGTCACCCACAACCTACCAACTAGGGAGAGCAAAACAGAAGCCTGCAGATATTTTTGCTAAAGGCTCAGGGAGCTGCCAGCACTAAGAGACCTGCAGCTGCTGACCCAGGCTGGTATCGATCCCCAACCCCTTTGCTCCTTGCAGTCTTTGTGCCAGGCACAAGCTGTTCCAACAGAAAGGCAGCTTCTCCAGCTCTTTAACACACAATGAGGTAGGGTTGAATCTTCTGGCCTTCTAGGAGTTGCAGATGTGGAGTCCTGCCTCCTATTTCTAAAATTGGGACAAAGAAGCTGGACTGATCAGTTTGTGCTTTGGCATGTTTTTGCGTTAAACATCGTGGTTTATATTTGTGAATCAGTAAGGGGAGAAGAGGTAACTGCAGAACAAATGGAGAGAGCAGCAAAGAGGGTGGAGGAAGAGGCAGGCTAAGGTCACCCTTATAGGTGCCAATGAGGAGACGAAAAGAATGAAGAGAGCTCGGAAGCCATAATTGCAAACCAGTATTTTGAGGGCAGGAAGGGCCAAAGATAAACAGAAACAGGATTATTTTTTTAATATCCACTCCCATAGAATATGTTCCTTAATACGTCCATTTCTCAGAGAGGGGAAAACACACCTCCTGCGGTGTGAAAAAGCGGAGAGAGTCTCCTGGCTCCCAGGGCTGCAGGCCAGGATCCTCCTCTTAGGGGGAGAAAGAACAAGCATGCAATTGAGAATACTCTCTTGCCTCGCCAGGAAGAGATTTTTAAGGTTTGTGACTTCTGGCTGGGCTATTGCCTGTGCCATGATAAATCACCTGGCAGAGCCTGCAAAAACAGATCAACTTGCACACAGATAGAGTCAGAACAAGCAGAGTGTCTCTCTAAAACTTTCCACTGGAGTTGTATGCTTTGGAAGTCTAGGTAGCTCTCCTGCAGTGATGCGGTGCTCAGCCTTAGGGCTACCACCTCCTGCAAGTAGAAGTTATTCGTTAAACCAACCCTGCGTTTTCAGGAGGGTGAACTGCAACAGTGTCCTTGGCGCACTTTGTATTATGAAAATGCAGCAAAGGTAGGAAAATTCCCCTTCTGCTGAAACCCTCATGCGATTGATGTTTGACAACAGAAAACAAAGAGGATGAAGACTAGCAACTCAGGAATCCTGATCAGCTGCTCTCAAGATAAGTTCAGATCAAGTCTAGGAGATGCCAGCACACCCCCTTATAAGTCAACATGGTTAATCCTCGACTTCTACGTAAAGGTAGAATAATATCCCTTTAAAGAAGACAAGAAGTCAAACTAAACCTGTCACTTGTTTCAGACATCAACTAATATCAAGGACAACCCCCCACCCCTTAAAGTCAAGGGCAACCCTTTGACTTCTTATATCTTAATCCTTAACTTTAGCCTTACTGAAACTCCAGATGTATTAGGACCTACATACCTCCAAATCCTTAGGCAATACAGCTGTTGCCTTACATATTTGCTATGAGTAAACGCATCCAATCTACTGATTTTTGAAATACTGTCTCAAATATTGCAGAATGAAGCATGCCAAACATAAATGGCCCTTAGGGAATCATAGCTCTAGAACCTCTGTAGAAGTAGAAACTCTATAGGAGAGGTTTGTTTTTCAAAGACGCAACTTCATTATTACTTTTACAGTCATCACAAAAGCTCAGAGAGCACCAAGGACCCTTCATCATAAAAGCTTCCAGAATTGGATGGGACAAAAATAAAATCATTCATCCTGCAGGAGTTAGTTATTTTATCTCCTTATACTTTGGACTTCAAGCCCTCAACCTGCCTGGGCAGACCCATAAATGCAGAAGGGAAACTCTGATTCATCAGGGCAATCAGTGGAGCCATCATACTCATTTAAGCGGGCAACTTTTTGGTAGCCCTTGGAAGTTGTCTTCTTTTATTATCTTCAGCAGCAGAAGTCCCTGGAGGGCACAGCATTAGGCAAGGAAAAGGTAGAATATTCAACCTTACTGTTGGGAACTGTAGAAGAGTAAATGTTACTGTGTTATTACTTTTGTTTCATGTGTTTGCTGAAAATCGTTGGAAAAGCATGTTGCTTTTATTCAGGGATTAACCACTAAATTTTAGCAGCATGACCTTATACTTTTTCCAGTAGGCTTTTCATTTCCCTTTCATTCACACATCAGTTATTTCTTGAGTCTTAACCCTACCGGTATTTCTTTCTTTTTTTTAATTTCTGAACCAGATAGAGAATGAGACTCGGTTCAGCTCCCTTTTACAATATACTTGTTATATTAGATAATTTATGTAGGGTTATATAATGTTTCTCTCTCAGTGTGCAAAGAGAAAATTTCTGCTGCAAACTGCAGGTAGACATCAGGAAAATCATCTGGCCAGTAAACGCTCAGTTCCATTCAGTTGCCCTGATTCCACCCCAAATAAAGGAATTAAAGGGTTATAAAAAGAAAAAAATGTAGGGTTATATAAATGGAGTCACTTCTTGGGAGAACATCTTAGAGAAATGCTTCCAAAGACGCTCCAAACTTTCAATAAGAAGTCTGTGCCCATCATGTTTTTACATTTAGATCACAAATTCTACAAGCTGAGAATTGCTCTCTATTTTTACAAATCCTATAGAGTCTGATGCCTTCCAGATTGGCCAACTGAAGAGAGTGAGATTGGGGAAGTGGCCCCATGTACCTGCTCTAGGCCAGCATTTCTCAACTTTGGAATTCTGGGAATTGAAGTCCACACCTCAAAGTTGCCAAGGTTGAGAAACTGCTTTAAGCAATACTACTGGGAAAGAGCCAAACAGTACTTTGTTTCACCCTTGTCAGGAAGCGGAACAGAAGTTTTATACCACCCTCCCAGCACACCTTGTTTTTTGTTGGTGTAAAGGAGTTCTACAGGTCTTTCATGCCATGTTCAGAAGCCTTAAATTCCCACCCCACCTCTATGGGAGAAGGTGTATTCCTGAGAGAGTTTGGATTTTTCCTCTCCCTCAAACTCCTTCCATTATAGCCTTAGTTAAATCCCTCAACAGCAATTATCTCCATTCCCACCCACCCCCACTCCCCAATTTTGCCAGTTCCCCCTTTTTATTCCACCGTTGCCAGAACTTCCAGAGTTCTGCTCTTATTAGTCTGGGACTGAATTGCTTTTCTTCACTTACAGGCAACCTTGTCACTTAGATGGGCGCCTAGCCAAAGACTATACACAGTAGTAGCCCTTGTGGCTCCAGGGCATAATTAATGGCTGTAAAGCCAAGTACCAAAGGACCAAGAAAGAAGCCATAAATGTAACTTGGACAAGACCCAGATGTTGAGTTAAAGATGACAATACACAAACAGTGCGGCCAGGGCTGCGGATATGATGGGGAGGAGGAGGGCAGACCCTTTCCACCTCCAAGGCAGTCAACAGGGGTGGTTTGAGTTTAGCCAGGAACAGGCAGGCCAAGAACCCAGTGGCCCCACAGTTTTCTCCTCCAAACATACCTTCAGGCCCACAAGGTAAAACACTTTTTAGGGAGTGGAAATTCAACCCTCCCCTCTCCCTTCACAGAACACACCAAGAATACTGTTCCAAAGATTTAATAAGAAGCTTTGTACAGTCACCTTTTATTTCGCATATTAAAAAAAATTAAGAGAGGGTATGGACATATGGCCAATCTTTCCCCCTTTCCATTCAGGCACACAAACTCAACATGGACTCTTCAGCCTAGAATGGTGCAGAGAAATGGCCAATGCGTGGCAAAATAAATGCAGCTGAAAGAGGCAGGCCCTGTTAAGAGTGCATGCTGAAATAGCCAGGCAACCTCCCCAGCACAGCACCAGGACATGCTGCTGGCTCTCAGCCTCAATGGATTCTCCTTCTGCACCCACCCCTTCTCCACCCTACCCTACCTCCTGGAGAGTCTCCCAGGGATACAGTGACAGGCATCAGTTGTCTCTTGCCAGCAGACGCAATGAAGACCCGCTGTCTGCTCAAAAGCTATAGCAGCATCTGGGGGGGAGGGGAGAGTTGTTTGGGAGAGGGGCAGGAGCAGATAAGAACTAAGGGTTCAGTTAGGTCCCACCACCAGAAAAAGACAAATGTACAAGAAGGAACAGGATGGAGACTGGGCAATCCAACCGAGACAGGAATCATTCGTCCTTCTTATCCTTTTGGCCTTCAAAAGTTGCCTGAAGGGGAAAGAAGAAGAAAAAAACCAGACAAAACATTGATTAGAACAAGAAAGGCCTTTCTCCTATTTTACAGGCAGATTGTCAGCACTCAAGAAGTGTAAGGGCTGAGCCTTGGTAGTACAGTGGTCTAAGGCACCCTGTTATTAAGCTGGTTATTAAGACCAGCTGCCTGCAATTACTGCAGGTTCGAATCTCGCCAAGGCTCAAGGTTGACTCAGCCTTCCATCCTTTCTAAGGTAGGTAAATTGAGGACCCAGTTTGTGGGTGCAATAAGCTGACTTTGTATAAATATACAAAAGGATGAAGGCTATTGCTTAACGCATTGTAAGCCGCCCTGAGTCTCCAGAGAAGGGTGGCATATAAATCAAATTAAAAAAAAAAAGTTTGCACGGTTTATTCTGCAATCTTTCTTAGTAAGGAAGAGGAAGCACTGCAGTGCTCCACTCACCAGACTGACTCCGAGGCTCAAGTAATCCAGTCAAGCCTCTATTTCAGTTTTTTGAGACAACCTCAAGCACCACTCTATAGACTTCCAAGCAGCCAAAGAGGCATTAAGAGTTACCAACTTAACTTAGTCAGAAAGCTGAATTCCACAGTCATCATGAAGTTTGGCATGTGTTATACTTTTTCCAGAATCAAGACAGGGGAAATATACTTGTGTTTAAAATGTTCCCTGAACTCCTCAACCAAGCTAGGTAGTTAGTGGACACTCTACAGTGTACACCTAGAAACTAAATACAAGCCCACTGTCATCTCAAAGCAGACAATAGGCCAGTCATAAAAAACTCTGCAACATGAAATATACACAACAGATTGACTCCCTGCTGGCCAATGACGCAAGGGCTCCATTCAAGTCATTGTCCTTTGTATGCTGCAAGATCACGAGTTGTTCATTCTTGAGCACATCATTCTAAGTGTATCACTCTGGCTTGTCTCCATGACATACGTGCCTAACAATAGTTACTGCAAACATGACTTACGAAAGTGGTGCTGCTGCAGGATATTCCCATCAGCATTTCTTTCTCAGCAATGCCAAACACTGACAAGACTTGCCGGTTCAAAAAAAAAAAAAATGACTCAATAACAGGGCCGTGGGTGAACAAATACCCCATTACTAGGCACAGAGGTTAACTTCTTGAACAAGCCGGTTTTTTATCCCATCTGTTCCTGTTCTTTAGAGCTTTGAAACTAGAGATAATCCTCACTTAATGACTGGTCACTTATCCTCCAGACGTTACTTAGGACCTGGTCCTGGAGTTCCAATGGCTGCACAAACCTCTGCGGTCTCGCAACCAGTGCCCTTTACAGCTGGTTGCAGAGTTAAGCACTAATGTGACCATGATTTTTACCTATTTCTGGCCTTTTCTGGCCAAAAAACACTCATAGGAATATGGGTAGTCCTCACCTACAACCACAATCAAGCCCAAAATTTATGTTGTTAAGTGAGAAATTTGTTAAGTGAGTTTTGCCCCATTTTATGACTTTTCTTGCCACATTTGGTAAGTGAATGACTGCAGTTGTTAAATTAGTAACACGGTTAAATTAATCTGGCTTCCCCATTAACTTTGCTAGACAGAAGGTCGCAAAAGGGGATCACAAAACTCCGGGACACTTCAACCATCATAAATTTGAGTCAGTTGTCAAGCAACTGAAAATGTAAATCTCGTAACCATGGGGATGCTACAATGGTCGTAAGTGTGAAAAATGGTCATAAGTAACTTTTTAAAGTGCCATTGTAAATTCAAACAGTCACTAAACGAACTGTTGTAAGTAAAGGATTATTTGTACATGGATTCACTTAACAACCACAGCATTCACTTAACTATCAGCACTTTCACTAAACTTTTTTTTCTTTTTATGACCTTGTAATCCCTTAATTTGGGGTAAAATCAAGGCGATTGAATGGAGCTCACCATTTACTAAGCAGATGCCCTTCCTGACACCTATGTGGAGTTCACAGCAGATATTTTCTCTTTGTGCCTTGAGAGATTAACATCTGCCACTACCTAGGATTGAACTCTCAACCTTCCAAGTAGGAGGTGAGCGTGTTCACTACTAGGCCCCTACACCGCTCACATTCACTAAATGACGGCCTCATGAAAAAAAATCATAAAATGAGATCCAATCACATGGGCGCCTTAACTTATGACTGTCGTGACTACAACTTTGATGAAACCAAAAGAAATGATGGAGGAATGGCTGAGTAATATTTATTTGGGGAAGAATATGAGGTGGATGATCAGCTTCTGCATCATATATACTTTCTGTTTCTTATCATCTCCAAAGGAAAAAACTAAACAGAACTATAAAGTTAGACAAAACTACTCAGTTTACTATCACTTACATACCTATTACAGAACGTAATTAATTAGCCTGCACACAACGCTTAACAGGAATGGTGTCACATTCATAGAAACCCGTTGCTACTGTATATTCCAATGGAGAATGGATTACACTCCAATTGGGAGAGATCCAAGATTTATACTGTTCTCCACTAGATGAAACTGCTATTCGTGCAGAAGATGTGTAGCCATTATTTTGTAGTTTTAAAAAATCCCCCAAACCTCCACAAATTTTAAAGGTTTAATGTAATCAAAATAACTACTAAGCAACCGAAGCAAGCACTAGCCCAATGTTGAAAATCAGCCTCCATGCTTCAAGCACTCACAATAAACGTATCATTTATATCATTTATAGATTTCTATTCTATTCTATTCTATTCTATTCTATTCTATTCTATTCTATTTCTATTCTATTCTATTCTATTCTATTCTATTCTATTCTTTCTATTCTATCATATAGATCAGTGTTATCCTCAGATGGTGGTGTGAGACCAAGACTAAGAGAGAGAAAGTAGATCAAGTGCTATCAAATTCATGTCACAAATGGGATTTGGTCTAGAAACAACCCAGTCTGCAAAAGAGTCCTTTTGATAACGTGCCACAATAGCACACCGTCATTAAATCGTATTTGTGAAGCAGACTATTCACCAGCCACACCTGCATGCAAATTCAATCAGATCAAATTTTCACCTTAGAGATTGTGATTTTAAGATTAGCCCTTTTTGCATGCTATTATATGCATTTTTTTCCCTGAACAGTCCTTTTGATGAGTCTGAAAGGTTACATCAACAGAAACACTCACTGGATGACTAGAAATACTTAAGGCAACTCTACTTTTCTCAAGTGTTAAGCTCAGCCATGCAATAACTTGCTCAGCCCAGCAATGGCTCAAGAGGGCTAAAGCAGCTGTCGTTGAATTCCGCTTCTCAACTGACAGTCTTATTAGCATGACACCTATGACTACTGCATCTTACTCCACAGGAGATTTGTTTACATTGCACAAAGGGGCAGAAGACCTCTAGGCTCTATCTGGGAGTGTTCCTAGGCAACTTGGAGACCGCAAGAAGGAACAACCTTTAGTTTAAAGTACATAGCTGCCCAGAATAATTTCACTGTGAGATGGGTGGCAAATAAATTTAATAATTGAACAAACAAATGGCCAGATTAACAGAGTTCAAAGGGACCTTATAGGTCATCTAGTCCAACCTCCCACTCAAGCAGGAGACCCTACACCCGTGATGGCGAATCTGTGGCACGTGGAGCCATATTAGTGGGCACGCCAGCCCAACTCTGGGGTGCATGCGTGTGCCGGCCAGCTGATTTTCGGGCCTTCTGGGCCCACCAGAAGTAGGGAAACAGGCTGTTTCCTGCCTCTGGAGGGCCTGGGGGGAGTGGGGAAGGCCCGTTTTTCTTTCTTACCTTTCTCCAGGTCCTCTCTATGCATCTGCGGAGGGCAAAAACAGCCTTTCCCACTCCCTCGGAGGCCTGAAAGGCCCCATTTCCCAACTCCCGGTGGAACAGGAAGTGACATTTTTTGCTGTCCCCAGCTTCCAGAGATTCCTAGAGAGGCTCATAGAGACTCCTAGAGAGGCTCTGGAGGCTGGGGACAGCAAAAAATGTCACTTCCTGTCCCACCGGGAGTTGGGAAATGGGCCGTTTCAGGCCTTTGGAGGGCCTCCGAGAGAGTGAGAAAGGCTGTTTTCGCCCTTCCCAGATAAATAGAGAGGATCTGGAACCAGGTAAGAAAGAAAAACGGGCCTACCAGGCCATCATGTGCCAGGAGCGGGGTGGGGGGGGATTGCGCGCGCATGCGCGTGGGTACGTGCGCACCCGACCCTCCCCCGCCCCACCTCTCCTGGCACGTGATGGAAAAAAGGTTAGCCATCACTGCCCTACACCATTTCTGACAAATGGCAGTCCAATCTTTTCTTGAAAGTCTCCAGTGATGAAGCTCCCACAACTTCCGAAGGCAAACTGTTCCATTGGTTGATTGCTCTCATTGTCAGAAAGTTCCTCCTCATTTCTAGGCACTTGTATAGTTTATGGTATTTCTTCCAAGTTAGTAGATATGACAGCAATAGCCGGCTATTGCATTTCAGGCAGTATCTTGAACCATACAGCCACCCAACCAGAATCCAACTCTCTACTCTTCCGTCACTCTCCAAAGCTTTGAAACACTGTGGGATAACTAGGACACTATGTCCTGTATCTAAAGCATAGTCAGTTTCAAGTGTAATGGCAATGAAGAAGAGGAAAGTAAATAAAAGAGGGTATATGTTTCATAGGATATTCAGCTATTATAGAAGAAATCCCTGTGAGGCCACATGTAGTTTCCTGCCACTCTTAGCTCCCTCTTCTCCACCACCACAAGTCAACAGGCTTCTAACAGAACCCCCTAGATATGAACCAAGGAATTCTGCCAGGACTAAAGCCAACCTTGTGCCTCTAGCCCACGGCTCTCCAACCCTGGCAACTTTAAGACTTGTGGACTTCATCTTCCAGAATTCCTCAGCCAGCTTTGAAGCTGAAGTCCACAAGTCTTAAAGTTGCCAAGGTTGGGAGAGCTCTACTCTAGCCAACACCATTAGTTGGTATTAGAACAAACCAACCTGTTTCATACTAAGCCATTGTGGCTTATTGGGATGATCCACAAAG